TAATAGATGGTATTTCATAGTTTTCTATATTGTAACATGTACAGATTTGGAGGTCATCCCCGTAATGTACTAAAACAAATAAATAAAAGACTCATAGAGAATAAAACCCAGAACGATCCAAATGGTAAATAATTTTATTTGAAATTATCAACAGTTGAAAAATAATAACATTTTTCCAATTTGCGATTTTTATTACCAATTCCATCTGGCTTCTTAATCCTTCAAATCTGACAGATATTCAATAACAGAATGCACAATATCCCAAAATTTCCATGTTATTAGGTCTTTTTCTCCGGATAAAATATTTTATACGAAGTCCAACTTTTTTATATTTCAGCTCTACATCAATCTAGGAAATGTTTATATTTGTTTTATTACACCGCAGTCTTTTTAGCAACTTAATTAGCAACTTCGAGCAACTTAACCTAGTTCTATGAAATTTAAACAATCCAAATTGTTTTCTAACCACCTTAGTGTCCTTATTGAAAGTCAACTCATGGAAAACGTGTCATGAACCGGCCCGTGCTAAAAGAACACTCATTAAAGTAAGCGGTAAAGGATAATTAAGCCCTTGGTCGTTAAATACGTTCATTATTGTCTAATTTTGCACGGATTACCAAAGGCGACACATTCAATTGGGACGTTGCGGTCAATTTGGCCTACAAACAATATTTATGAAGTAAGATTAGCTAACCCAACAACCGCGAGTCGCACATCGTATACCATTTTGTTCAATAGGTTGACACACAGACATTTACTTTTGGGCGAAGTCTTGCTTCGTTTTTATTTTTCAATTAATATTATGAATTGACTGTATAAAATATATTTTTCCTATATCCACTAGAATAATCCATAAAACATAACAATCCACGCACTGAAACAGGATAAAATCCACTGGGGGCTTGATCAACAAGCTTTGAAAACCATAGATAGATAGATAGATGTAATAATTCAGGGTATGGTATACTGCGCCCTTTAAGAGCTATTGTATCCCCTGTGCTCTGCTTAAAGCACATCGGTGAGTCCTATTTCATCAAGAAACTTGATTAATAGGCCCGGTTTCAGTGGTTGTAGTTCTTTTATGGTCACATTGTACATCCCAAAACACTTCCTCCTGCGGGCTAGTGTAGCTCCGCAGTTTGTTAGTAAGTGTGTTGGTGTCTCTTCTGCTTCTTTGCAGAATCTACATGTGCCATCTTGGATTATTCCAATTTTCTTTAAATGTCCATTTAATCTACAGTGTCCTGTCAGGAATCCTGTTAGGATTCGCAGTCTGTTCCTGCTTCCTTTGACACATTCTGTGATTTCTTTCTTGCCAAAGTTGGTTAGAAAATTCTTGGATTGTCTGTGTCCAATAAGTGAGTTCCAAAGTTCGCTCATTCTCTTTTTATCCTTCTGTCTGAGGTATTCGTTGATAGTGTGTGTTCCTATTCCACAGAAGGGTTCAGGTCCTATTAGCGGTGTGGCAGCCCCTTTTCTTGCCAGGGTGTCCGCTTCCTCATTACCTTCTACTCCCATGTGTCCTGGGACCCAGCAGAGGCTGATTTGAAAACCATACATGAAATTTATATTACCTACAATGAGTTACGCATCACATATAAAATAAAAAGTATCTTGAAAAAAAAAACAGAGAAAAAACAAGATGGCAACGTCTGATCGCCATAAAAATGATAAAAAGAGACGGAACCATATCATTGAGGCTGTCTGCGCCGTAGCAAATATTCTGCCGATAGACCTGAAAGTGGAAATGGAAAATCAAATTCATACTATTCCATCCTATTCTAGCAGGTGTCCCACAGGGCAGCGTGCTCGCTCCTTTCCTTTGTTCAATTTGTACCTCCGACCTACCTACACGACCTAACACTATCATCTTCACCTTTGCCGATGATACCGCAATCCTTTCTCTTGATAAAGATCCTGTCACAGCTTCAGAGATTAACATTTATTTAAAGACCCGACCTCCAAGTAGCTGGATTACAGGAGCACGCCACAACTCCCAGTCGAAATCTACTCCGACCATTCCGGTTCATAATCTTAGACTCAAACCGATTTTCGACTATCTGGGCGGTTTTTTCTTTGTAATATCCATATCAACATTTTGAAATAAATTTTTTTAATAATAATAAATCTATTTTTGGCCAATTTAACAAGGAAAAACCTCTGAAATGCCTAAATTTCGAACGGATCTAGATTAGAGCAACAGGCGCATGCGTGACTTTTTCCCGCTCATTTTTCAATTAATACTCCTTTATTGATATTAAAATTTATATATTTATAATAATAAATGTATTATTATTTTGTTATTATATTTTATATATTTATTATTTCTTAAGAATTTTTGAGTTGTTCATGCAATTATGGTTCAGCTAGGAAAAGCTCATTTACGCTCCCGAAACAATCAAACTGGATGAGAACTAAACACTTTGAGCCCAACAATAATTAATTAACTCAGACACACATTCTAGAGAAGGGATTGACTTCATTATCCCGGAATCACTCTTTACAACATACAAATAATAAATAAAACAGACGACAAAGGAGAAGAATTCAGGAGGACATCAGGATGTGGTATACACAAAGGATGGCACCAAGACAAATGAAGAAACTGGATGCATTTTCTGTATAAGCGTAAAATAAGAGTAATCAGGTCTTTAATCAGAGTAATCTTTCAAGCTGAAATACATCAATCCTTGTGTCTTAGAAAATCTCGAAATAAAACAGTAATCTCCAAAATCACCTACACATCCTAGAATGCTCCAGGGGAGAATCAAGATCAACGAAACCAAATCAACAAACATAATTTTTATCCTAAACAAGAGTGTTATTAAGCGTTAGTGATAAAAAGATTAAAACCCGGAGAAAAAGTACTTTCAGGTAGTCACCCTTGTGAATATAATCATAGTTTGGATTATGACCATCGCAACATAGACTGCTACGCAGACGGTTCACTTATCGAAGAGGGAGTGGTGCAGGAATTTACATCCATAAATTATAATAATAACCTGTACCTAAGGAATCAGCATCTCCTCCCCTCTTGGCAATAACACCTCTGTTTTTCAGGCGGAAATCTGGGCCATTAATGTGTTGTAGAACACTTATGGAAAATAAAAATAATGGAAAGGATATTAAAATTTTTTCTGACAGTCAGGCTAGTCTTAGGTCATTACAAAAAGACTTGTTGGAAATGTAACCTAAATGTAAAATAATTTGTTAAAACAATATTACGAATATCATTTTCGTTGCAATAGTCACAGTATTAATAATCCACCGACGTCGGCCAAAAAATAAAAAGCTGTTTTTTTCAACTACCTCATTCTTGACCATTCCTCACGAATTCAACAAATTATGAAACTACAGGTCACTAAGAAACACACATTATTTTCAACCTGAGTTAATTTAAAAAAGTGAAATACTAAAAAAATATTCTTAATAGTTAATTCTAGCTACGTTAATTACTAGAAATAATAATGTAAATTGTTTTGTTGTAAAATAATATAAATATAAACAAATATTTTATGAAAATAAAATTTTTCTTGAAAATGGGAAAAGTTCCAAAACTTTCCAATTAAAAAACAATTAACATTTAAAAAGAAAAATTTAAATTTCTAATAAAATTAATCATACATGAAATACATTATTAAGATTTAAAAAGAAAACATGATATATATATAAAAACATATATAAATAAATTAAATACATATAAACAAAATGAAATATATATGGCTATATATTTAAATTTATCTATCAAGGGAAAAATGAACATAACTTATACAATATTTTGATTTCTCGTTTAATCAAATATCTTAGGGAATGTATATTAAAAAAAAATTACTGCATCTTAAATTAATTTGCACAAACCAACAAATATTGGCTTATACAAAGAAAATGGATTAAAATTTTATGTGATTTTCTATAAAACAAAATTTAGCATAGTTAAGTTTTTAAATAACTTACGCCTGCTAGCTCAAGAAAATTTTATGGAAGGCAGTCAAATTTGGAGATGCAAACATTTTTGTTTTAACTTAAATTCTTAATTTTAAGATTTGTGTTATTTATAAATATATCTCTATAAACAGAAAATAAATATTTATTTGATTATTACATAAGATTTCTATTACCATGATATGCTTAAAATTAACACATACAATTACAGCAAACTCTTATTTGTGGGAAATATGGACCAAGCATCAATGTGGGTAACAAAAATCACAAATAATATGAAACACCTCAAGTTTTAGGCATTTTATTCTATCTTTTTCAAACATTCTATATATATATATATATATATATATACATGCATGATATCAAAGCAAATGAGAAAAAAATTATTGGGGGCATAAAAAAAATATATTCCCCTTGTTGAAAGTAGATGATGATGAATCAGCGATGTTTGCCGTTTTAGATTTCTCAAGAACTTTGCTACAGGAGGCTGTTTTGACTGCTTTTTCAAATGCTGGAAATTTTGTTGGAGATTGCCTGAGTTACCAGACGTGTTGATGGTTTGTTTCACTACTGGATCATATTCTATGATTTGTCTTTCAAATTTTTAGCTAATCATTGTTTTTGCCTTTTTTTAGCTGCTGGGCTGTTTGGTTGATTTTTACCTTACTTATACTGGAGGTTTTCTTTGCCTAATAAATTTGAATTTAATTATTTTGTTTTTTATTCAATTAATTAGTCTATTTTCTTTCATTATTTTTGTAACAAAAGTTTTTAAACATTTCGTACACTATTTTTTCGTCATTTTCCATGTTTTTAATATTTTTTGGTTGACAGTGTTTTTTTAAGTTTATTTATAGTATAATAAATATTGGTATTTTTTTGAGATAATATGTTGACTAACTTTTGCTATTAGAGAATTATATTACTAAGATGGCCGTTATGTTTATCAACTTTACTTTAATGATTTGAAAGTTTGTTTTTAAGATTTAGGCTAATTTCTAAACGGATCGTAATTTCGAATGTAATATTAGCCACGGAAATCATTTAACTTCGGCTAAGTATGCTTAATTATCAATTAGTCACCCTGTATATAAGGAAGGGACTTTTTATTCAACAACATTCCAGCTTGTTGCGAAGCCGAACAATGTTCGAGGTAAGTCGTTCTGCTAATCCAGGTGGCGTTAGCGGTCGATAGCTGAGCTAATCGCCTCATGTAGAATCCGGTAGAATGCAATGTCTGCTTTTCAGGTCGTGCTCACTTTGGTCCTGCTGTCTCCAACAATTGCCATAGAAAAAGACAAAGCATTTGCCAGCATCGAGAGAGATGAATTTCTCGCATCCAAGATCGCCGAGATAATAGCGAGCCGGCAGAAGATACCGCCGTTAAAAAATCCATTACTGACGCCTTTCTTCGGCAGAAGGGATTATCCAATTCTAATTCCTCTGAACGTGCTCGAAGGCGACGATGTCATGTCAAGGTTCTTCTTCTGCCACAAGAAACGGAAGAACAGCCACACCGGGGAAGTGGCGCCGACCAAGAAGCCGCAGTACAGCGAGGACGACCATGACACAGAACACAACGAACCCGGTTATGTAGATATTGATGATCACCCTACGACACACAAGCCTTATTATGAGCATCATACGACACATTCAGAACCCTATGAACACCCTACGACATATAAGCCACACTACGAACATCCTACGACACATTCAGAACACTATGAACACCCTACGACACATTCAGAATATTATGAACACCCTACGACACATAAGCCATACTATGAGCATCCTACGACACATTCAGAACACTATGAACAACCTACGACACATAAGCCATACTATGAGCATTCTACGACTAATTCAGAACATTATGAACACCCTACGACACATAAGCCATACTATGAGCATCCTACGACACACTCAGAACACTATGAACATCCTACGACATATAAGCCTCATTATGAGCATCCTACGACACATTCAGAACACTATGAACATCCTACGACATATAAGCCTCATTATGAGCATCCTACGACACATTCAGAACACTATGAACACCCTACGACACATTCAGAATATTATGAACACCCAATTACATCTTCACAACATAATGAACACTCAACGACTGAGTCAGAAAATTATGAACACCACCCGACTTACAAGCCTCATTACGAGCATCCGACGACGAATGACGAACATGACGAACACCCGACGACAATTAATACAAACTATAGCACTAAACCAACGCAAAAACCGGTCGTTAAAAAACCGTCGAGGCCGTTCTGGTGGAGTATCTTCACGACGCCGAAGCCGCAAGTTCTCAGAACGTCTAAGCGAGCGTCTACAAAGCCGTAAATATTTTTTTTCAACTAATCCCAATATACTAAAGTTTTTATCGAAAAATTTCTGTTCAGGGTAAGAGAACCAGAAGAGACGAAAACCACCAAAGACTGAAACTGGGAATATAAAAGTGCGAAGCGCAAAACAAGAACCAAAAAGATAATCTTATCCTTATTTAATTAATTTATTATATTTTGTTATTTATTTAAATATATTTTGCTATTTATTTTAAAACCTATACCACAGTAACCTAAAAATGATTTCTGTATATAAACAAACTTGGCCTGATGCTTATTTTAGCACACGACATTAAGAAATGGAAGAAAGGTCGCTTAAGACATAAAAAGACAATCGTTAAAACAGGCTTTTGTGAAGGATGTCAAGAGAAAGGTTGATTTTTATCCTGGCTATCAGACCGGCCTTGACGGTGTTAACAATCTTTCTACCTTTTCTTCCGATCAATGCTTGTTCTTTCTTATTCTTTTTCTACCTTTCTTAGGCATGTCGTTCAGACATGCTGTGTGCAGGATTTTAATTTTGAACAAAAAGGACCGGGCTCATTAATTCAAATTGAATGTTCGAAGCCTATATATNATTTCGATTCAGCTGGTTTGATCGCCTTAACAAACTCTTTCGATTGCCTGTGTCCGGGGGATAAATTCCACTCCCTAAGGAATTGTTTCATGCCCCAGTTATTGATACTCTCTTTCGCTATGCTCACAGAATGAGCTAATACCGGTTGTAGCCCAACAAGCGCAGTATTAGAACCTTCTTTGGCTAGGCCATCCGCCTTTTCATTGCCATGGTGTCCTTTATGTGCTGGTATCCAAATAGGGGTCACCTTATTCTCAAACATGAAAGAGATCCTATTGATAAGATCTATAGTTTCCTCCACCAGTCGTGAGATTGACAAATCTTTTTGTAATGCCCTAAGACTAGCCTGTCTGTCAGAAAAAATTTTAATATCTTTCCCCTTAATTTTATTTTCCATAAGTGTTCTACAACACACATTGATGGCCCAGATTTCCTTCCTTTTCTTCCGATCAATGCTTGTTCTTTCTTATTATTTTTCTACCTTTCTTAGGCATATCGTCCAGACATGCTGCGTGCAGGATTTTAATTTTGAACAAAAAGGACCGGGCTCATTAATTCAAATTGAATATTCGAAGCCTTACGATCTTCCTCTTTAAAACTAAACGTTATTTCATGTCGAGTTATTAATAAAATGTAATAAAGAACATTTCAGAGGTCAAGATATGACTCAAAGAAGGTAAAATGTATACACAGAAAATAGCATTAAACTTTAATCCCTTTAATCTCTCTGATCACTAACAATACACCGTCAACTGACGTTTTTATTAACATAGAGAAACATTTACTAGAAGAATTTTCTTCCGGGAAATAGTGAAAATTTAAAAGGGAAAATATTAGAATTATTTTTAAGAAATATTTCGGAAAAGGGATAGTTTTCATAACGAGGTGATTGCATACTAACATATAAGGATTAACTATTTATAGAAAAGAGTTTCAACACAAAAGTCATTACATATTTTAAGCGGTGCCTTTTGTCATACTTATATAATATTTAATTTAGAGAAAGGTTTCCACCTTTCTCTTTTCTGCGTTTATGTATAACAGAGTGGGTGACAATTTCCCTTGGGGTGTTTTCAGAAACCTTCGTGACAAGGGAAAAACACTCGCACTCGGACAGCTCAGATTTTAACCGACAGTTTATGCGACTATATTTTTATGTATATAAAAATATAACTTTATTTAACATTTCTGTCATGTACAGTTTTGCATACAGCGACTTGTGAGGACGCTGCACATTGGCTGTCCTCAGGTTGATTTAGGCACTTTTGTTAGTCACATTGGCTAAGATAATAATTATGATATTATATGTCAGTCGTTGAAGGCTTAAAGCAATGCTTACTGAGGAGGAGCAACAGAATGCGTCCAAAAGCATTTAAATAAATAAAAAATGCATATTTAAACTCGTTGGCAAAGCTTACTAAAATTACGTGCAACTAGACATAAAAACAGAACGAAAAACACATTTTTAATGATTTTTTAAGTTTAATTAGGTTATAAAAATACTTTAATCACTTAAAACAGGCTATTGTGTTTTTCTAGCCTTCCATTGTCAAACTCTCTCTCCCCCAGGATATTTTTAATTATTTATTTTGTTCAATTATGCTGTGTAATTATTTTTAGTACTCTTTACCTACTGCGTTCTTCTAGTCCTTTATCTGTCTTTGTCTATATTTGGTTTTCCTCTTTGTCCCCGTCTGTCTCTCGTTCTCTCACTCACGCACTCACACACACACACACACACACACTTTCTTTTTTTGGTCGTGCCTGTTCACCTTACTATTTCTTTTTCTCATGCCTGTTCGTGTCTCTCGCTCTATTTCGACGTATCTTTTCTTTTTTCCCTCTCTCTTTTTTTCGGCCTACTGTTCGTGTCTCTCTCCCTTTCGGCGCGTCTGTTTGCCTCTTTCTCTTTTTCTTTTTTTAGACGGGCCTGTTCACCTTACTCTTTCTTTTTCTCTCTTTTTCGGCGTGCCTGTTCGTGTCTCTCGCTCTCTTTCGACGTGTCTTTTCTTCTTTCTCTCTCTTTCTTTTTTCCGGCCTACTTGTTCGTGTCTCTCCCTCTTTGGACGTGTCTTTTCGTCTTTCTTTCTTTCGGCCTACCTGTTCGTGTCCCTCTTTCGGCGTGTCTTTTTGTCTTTCGTCTATCTGTGTATATATATTTTTTTTTATTATATTTATTTATCCATTTATCAATCAATCAATTATATTATGCTCTATCAACATCTATCTATCTATATATTAATCTATCAATCCATCCATCTATTCATCCATCTATCTATCTATTTATTTAGCTATCCATTCATTTATCTATCTTTCTCTCTCCCACTCAGTCATTCGGTTTCACTCATTCTCTCTCTTTTTCTCTCGCCCTCTCTCATTGTCTCACTTTATCCCTCTCTGTCTCTGTCTCTGTCTCTGCCTCTGCCTCTCTCTCTCTCTGTCTTTCACTATCTCTCTTTCACTCTCTCTCATTTCAGTCACTCCCACCTGTCAAACTGGATGGATTGTGGATATCTCTCAATCTCTTTCACTTTGTCTCATTCTTTATCTATCTTTCATTTTCTTTTTCTCACTCACTATTTTTGCCCATTTCGCCCTCTGCCTCTCTTTCTTTCACTATCTCCCTGTATTTCATTGAATATGTCCCTAGTCTGTTTTTATCGCTTCTTTTGTTTGTCTGTTTGTGTTTGTGCATTTTTCATGATTATTTGTTAGGATGTGTTTACTCTATCTTGATATGCAAATGCCCGTCCCATATGGAAAGAAAAGCTTAATGAGGAAGAGGGAAATTTCTATCTAAATACTATATAAATGGCTCGAAATGAATTTAACGAAATTAAAATAACCATCCCTAACCAAAAATCGTAGCAATACAACAGCGTACTATCCCCAATACGACGTGCGAAAAGGCATAAAAACGAATAAAAACCTATTTTCATACATTTATTTTGTTAAATTAGTCATCGGATATTGAAATATCATTCAATATCACTTTCTTTACGGTTCTTCAAGTCGTTTATATATCTTTCTTCAGTTCTTCCTTTCTCTGTATCTCTCTCGGTCTCGTTTTCTTTTCTACGCTTTCATGCTGCAATCAGCAGCATCAGCTTTCTTTTTTCTTTTTAAACCGTCTCATCATTATCGTAAGGAACGAGCCCGTTCACATAAGTCACGTAAAATATTAAAGTTCAATGTCTTTTTACCGCGCGACATCCCAGATATTAGGTCAGGGCTCAGATTTCGAAAATTGCAAAATCAAAATGTATTTGTGGATTTTTTAACCGGATGCACTTAAAACTAAAAGCATTCTACAATCATTTTATGTTGGATGTACTAGTTTAATTTAAAACCTATCATAAGCTACTTACAGATCAATTTATAACCGCTATAAAGCCGAAGACGTTATATCACATAGCTATTGAATTTATTATCTCTTTACAGAGAAATCTAAAAACGTTCACCTTTATCTAAAGAGGCAGAAAAATAAGAGATGTTTAGAATAGGAACATTGTCGGAAAAGAGTAACAGATTTTTAAAAGTATTATGTTAAAATGAAAAGGAGAGACGAAGAAGCCAGATAACAGTCCAAAGTTTTTCCACCCTTGGGAAAACTTTTTTTTTACAACCCGATTAGCAATGAATGAAAGTCAACTGCCGTTTGAAAAGTGTTGATTCTTATTTATTTGTAAAAACGGCTCTTTTCAAACTCCCAAAGGGTCGTTTGTACCGGTGAAGGACAAGTTTTTATTTACATTTAAGCCCTCTCTGGGGTAAAGTAAAAGGCTAACGCGCCCTTAATGCCGGCTTCGTATTTCAGTGTCAAAATCCGCCCCCCCCCCGGGCTTGATTTACAACGACAGAAGATACATCTTGAACCAAAGGGATTACAGTTTAATTGTTAACGTTTGTGATGTTTTTAGATACTGATATCACTGAATAGGAAAAATACCTAACTAAATTGAAAGCTTAATTCCAAAGATCAAAACATTACCAAGGAAAACTTTCGTACAATAAACCTTTATTGAAATTATTATATACGATACAAGTTATACAATTATAATAAAAATGATAATAAAAGTAAAATATTCAAGATTTTACACAAATTATCGACACTTTATTGTTCCAATTTATGTCTCTAATGTATGCCTTTGTGTTTGACAGTTTGTATGGCTATCTGTCTCACTCTCTCTCCCTCTCTGTTTCACCCTAGCACTTCTTCCTCCGCTCGCTCTTTCTCTATTTATTTCTATTTTTATCAATTTGTATTTCCCTCTCTATCTTACTCTTTTTCCCTTTCTCTTTCTGTTACTTCTTTCTCTTTTTCTCCCACTCACTCGATTTCTCTCTCCCTTTCTGTTACACTTTCACTTTCCCCCACTCGATTTCTCTTTCTATCTTTCGTTTTATCAATCTGGATTTCCCTCTCTATTTTTCTCTCTCTCTCTCCCTTTCTCTTTCTGTTACTCCTTTCTCTTTTTCTCCCTCTCACTCACTTTCTGTCTCTCTCTTTCTTTTACACTTTCACATCCTCCACCACTCGATTTCTCTTTCTATTTTTCGTTTTATCAATCTGGATTACCCTCTATCTTACTCTCTTTCTCTTATTTC